TGACGGGTTCTGCTGGTTCGGCTGACCCTATCCCCGTGAAGCCCGAGGAAGCGCCTGGGGTCGAGATCAACCCGCTCGACAAGCTCGACATCATGAAGGACACGATGGGCATTCTCAGCAAACTTCGCAGCATAGAGATCGAGTGCAAGGTGATGCGCGAGTCGGCGAGCGGCATCGAGTACGCCAAGCAGCTTCACGACGACGTGGTTTCATTCCTTCCAAAGTTGGCCAGCTGCATCAAAGCTGTCGAGAAGCTGGTGCTGTGCAACAAGAGCGAGGTTCTTGATGTGGGCTCGATCCAGGCTCTGGACGGCAAGGTCTCGATGAGCATGGCCAAGTTCAAGACCATGCAGGACTGGGCCGTCAAATTCGGAATTTCGAAACCTCCTTGGAGGAGGAGGGCAGCCTAGCTCAGGAGTCAACTCGACTCCCTACCTATACTCGGCCTCCACCTGCTCCTCCTGCCATTGTGTACTTGTGCAGAATGGGCTTTTGAGTTTTAGCCGACTGGGGTGTCGGGCAAGAGAGTTCAGAGCTCCTAAGAATAGTCGAAAAAGGAACTGACTGAGCAAATCTTCCGTCACCGTCATCGTGATAGTAATTATATTCATGATTACGCATACTCGTTATCGCCATCATCGTCATCATTACCATTCGCACCGTCATCGCAGCCATCCTCACCATTAACACCATCAACATCATCATCATCATCATCAACATCATCAGCATCAACATCATCATCACCATCACCGTCATCGTCACCATCATCATTGTCATCATCAGCATCACCATCGTGCATACTTGGGGACTTCTGGAGGCCTCCCTTGCGCCACCTCCTGCGACTCTAGGGCTACCTTGAGGCCTCAGGGGGCCGTCTTGTCTCCAAGACGTCTTGGGAGGAAGCAAGCGACTCCCGACTCGCACGCACCTTGCTGCATGTTCTAGGACACGCGCGAGCGTGAAGATGAGCAGGGGAGGGGGAGGAGGAGGAGGAAGAGGAGGAGGAGGAGGAGGAGGAGGAGGAGGAGGAGGGGAAGCAGGAGGAGGAGCAGGAGGGGCAGGAGGAAGACACTGATAAGATTCCGTGCGGTTGGCACTTCTATGTCCTTGCGACTGCGTGAAAGGCTGGTGCGGGGTTGTCCATTCTATGTTTGAGGGTCTGAGTCTCGTAGCACCCATCGCGTCCGTAGCCCATTGGGCCCAAGCAATTTGGTGCATGAAGCGAGGCTTGCTAGGCCGATTAGCGGGGGGGGCTCCAGAAACGCACGGGGCAAGCTCTTCGCAGGCGACGGTCGCACCTCCAGGCGCTCGCAGAAAGTTGGCGGCTGCTGAGCGAGATGAGTTAGACAAGAGGCATGCTGCCATCCACGAGGGGTCTTCGAGTTTGCCTTTAAACAGAACCCTTCTCAAAAAATGTGCGAGAGGTGAACTGAGCTCGTCCGCTGTCCAGGAGATAGCGATGGCTGCTACAACACAGGGTGCAGTTGGAGCTGAACGGTATGCTAAGCTGGGCGCATTCGGTCATCAACCTGGCAATGTTTTCGCGATCTTGTGCAAACGATTGGTTCTCCCGTGGGGTCGTCTGCAATTTCTCACCCGCGAATGCCGTGCCCCGCAGGTCCGAAGAGGATCGCTGCACTGCAACCGCATATTATGTTTGAGCAGATGTATGTTGAAAAACAAGTCGAGTTCAAGAGGTCGATATTAGGTGGTCTACCCGATGCCCGAGATTTTGAACTCTAAGTCTGGCCGAGCGTTCGCAGCCCAACACCCGATTCTTAGGGCGAAGTCCTTGGATGAACTTTCAAAGACAATCCCCCTTGGCCTGCATGGGGACGGGGGAGAGTACTCACACCAAGATTCAGTGTATGTAATTTCTTGGAACAGCCTGATAGGACTTGGAGATACCAGATCAAAGAAATTCGTGTTCGCCATGTTGAGAAAAACTGAGTTGAACGATAAGGTGTGGGATACATTTTGGAAGATCTTTTCAGATTCCATGAACAAGCTGTTGCTGGGAAATAGCCAGATCGCAGGAGGGTTCGGAGGAAGCCTCTTGCAGCTTAGGGGAGATTGGGCGTTCTTCTGCGAAGTGCTGGGATTTCCGAAACATAATGAAAACGAGAATTGCTGTTGGAAGTGCAAGGCCTCCATTTCCATCCCAGAGCTTCGGTTTACAGATGCTACCGACGAGGCGGGGTGGAGGGCAACCTTACGAACTCATGAGAGCTACCTTGATGAGTTGAAGCGCCCAGGAAAACCAGTGCCACCTTTGTTTCGATATGCGATTGGATTCAGAATGGAGCATTGCATGATTGATGTACTGCACTGTGTAGACCAAGGGGTCACTGCGCACGTAATCGGTTCGGTCTTGATGGAGTGCATGGCCCACTTTGGGCCCAACCAGGATGCCCAGGTAAAGCAGTTGCAAGTGCGCTTGAAACAATGGGAAGCTGGTCGAGGCACTTGGCATCACAGGTATGCTGGCAAGCTCACGCTTGAACGACTTCGGAGCTCAAGTGGCTTCAGCAAGTTGAAAGGCAAAGCGGCGATGGTTCGACATATGATCGGTTTCGCTGTGATGTTGGCAGAGGAACAAAATGATGGCTCTGTGCATTGTAGTCGGCGCCTCGCAGTAGCTAGGCTCATTGAACGTTTTTACCAGATTCTCGTTGAAAACGATCTGTTCATTGTTGGCGCCGACCTTCAGGAGTTGAAGAGTTTGGGGAAAAAAGTGATGATCCTCTACAACGCTTTGAGCACAGAGGCGGCCTCACGGCATGCCAAGCTGTGGAAGTTTGTGCCAAAATTTCACATGTGGGTTCACTTGTGCGAAGAGCAGGGGTTCATGATGAACCCCAGGTTCTTTTGGACCTACGGGGACGAGGACTTGGTCGGTAAAACAATCGAAGTTGCGCAGACAGTGCATCCGAGCACCCTGGCAGAGACTGCGTTGTTCAAATATCTCGCGGTCACGTTTGGCTGCTGAAATAACAGAACATCCTCATCTCCACGACATCATCTTGGCCCCTAGTAGATCCGATGATGATGATGATGATGATCAGGATGATGATGATCAGGATGTTGTTGTTTATGATGATGATGGATGAGGATGATGATGATGACAATGACGATGACAATGATGATGATGATGATGATGATGACGATGATGATGATGATGATGACGATGACGGCGACGACGACGACGATGATGACGATGATGGCGGTGGTGGTCATGATTATGGTGAGGAGGAGGAGGAGCAGCAGGAGCAGGAGCAGCAGCAGGAGCAGGAGGAGGAGGAGGAGCAGCAGGAGCAGGAGCAGGAGCAGGAGCAGGAGCAGGAGCAGGAGCAGGAGCAGGAGCAGGAGCAGGAGCAGGAGGAAAAGCAGGATGAGGAGGTGGAGGAGGAGGAGGAGGAGGAGGAGGAAGAGGAACAACAACAACATCAGCGTCAACATAATCAACAGCAATAGCTAAAGGATGGAAGCGAAAAATAATATAAGGAAGAGGAAGGAGGAAAACACAGAGCTGACACGAGAGGATGAGGAGGGGAGGGGCGGGAGGATGAGGCGGCACAGAAAACGGGCGACGACGATGCAGATGATGAGGGCCACCGACTGCAACCAAATGGGCGGGGAACGAACGCGAGAAACAGTAGGAGTAAGTATGTGTCTGCGCACGCACGAACGGCCAACTCATACTAATAAGAGCATAAGAGATGCTGTCTCCTAAATGCGAACACGTACGTCTTGCTGCCTATTCTAAGGGACCACTTAGATCTAGACCCTGTCGGATGCTCGGGGCCGCTGGAGTCCCCAAATCCTCCTGTGGCTGGGCCGCGGCCAAACCAAATTATGGTTCTCCTCCGGCGGCCGGTGGCCCGCGGTGTCCCGCCGGTGCCCCGCTGGTGTCCCCCAATCCTCCCGTGGCTGGGCCGCGGCCGGACCAAAAGGTTCTCCTCCGGCGGCCGGTGGCGCGCGGTGTCCCGCCGGTGCCCCGCTGGTGTTCCCAAATCCTTCCGTAGCTGGGCAACGCCGGACCAAATGATGTTCCTCCCGTCAAACGTGCACAATCACACTACTCACTAGACCCCGCCCCACAAGCATCGTCAGAACAACAATCGCCACTTTTGCCCATTGTTGCCCCCCCACCCAACCTCCTGATCACCCAGAAAGTGGTCGTATAGGTAGGAGCTGGCCCAGAACGCGTCCTGGGGCCAATCCTGCGGAAGTCGGCGCGCCTCCCTGAGGCCGTCTGCCCCGGACCGGGAAGATACGAACTCCCAGAGTTTCGCATCCGGGACGCACTCCGGAAGGCTCTCGGCGAGGGGCAACTCCGAACAGAAATCGCCCTCCAAGGAGCCCAAAGTAAATGTCACGGAGTCGGTGCGTCAAAGTACATGCATTCAACTTGATGCCAGCCCGTCGACCTCTTCATCACCACTGCTTAGGAGAACAACTTGGACAAGCGACCGTTTAGATTGCCACGGCGACTTTAAACCCCGGCAGCCGACGCCGAGCCCGACAGAGCAGCCCTGGAAGGCACTGGCGAGGCGCGGCTGATGCGAGGTCTTCCCGGGGCCCGTCGGCCGCAGGGCTCTGACCAGCACAATGGACCAGATGATGTATTTTGCACTTTTCTCTCAGCCCAGGACAGGCGCACGGTCTCTGCGGCGCCTGCCAGCCAGGTCCCGGGCCATCCTGGGAACGATGGACCTGGCTTGGGGCCGTGCCGAACTGGGACAGTCCAGCCGTGCCCCGGCAACCCACGGCCTTTTCCCCAGGAGTCCGAAAGGCGCGCCTTCCGAACCCCTGAGGCGGCGCCTCCACCAAGCGCGGGCATGCACGCGCAAGGCGAAGACGCCTGGCCCCAGGACGACCGAAGCACGCAGCACGAATGCCGCGCGCTCCAGTCGCCTGGCGGGCGCCCCTAGCCCCTACTCTGACGGAAGCGCGGCCTCCATCAGAGCACGACGGGTGCCGTTCGTTTATACACAATGCTACCCCCGGCATCTTTTCGCGGAGGCCATCCCGCGCCCGTCCCTCGCGCTGGCGGAGGACCCGTGGGCCTCCCCGAGCGCGGCATGTAGGCCACGTGGCAGCACAATGGGCTTGTACTTCCAGGGCTGCGTCCAGTCCCCGCGGGACAGACCGTCGACGACGTCTGAGGCCGACGCAGCCCTGTCAAACCACGCCCACACCTTCTGGCTGGCAATGCGGGCCCACGTCATGCCAGCGATCGCTTCTCCGGCAAATACCGACGAAGCGCCTTTCACAAGGCAGCTCAGGGCGCCCTCCTTGTCGATGAAGTGCAACCACAACGACCCCTGCATCACCCCCAGCCAGTTTTCGTCGAGGATGAGGATCGGCCCGAGCGCCTCCACTTCGTAGACGTCGGTGGCCAGGGGGTCCGTGTCCAGGGTCGGGTGCCACAGGTGGCGGAGCTCCCGGGGGACGACAATGCGCCCCGCCTCTGGCACGGGCAGACGGCTGCTCCAGAGCACCACGCCGATGCCAGCCTCGCTGCCCTCCCCGTCTGAATACGAGAGAACCCAGTCGAGGGAAGACGGGTCGGTGAGGACCTCGCGAGGGCGCTGGCGCAAGAGCGCCTCGGCCCACCAACGCAGGGCAGAAGCCATCTGCGGGTTCAGCTCCGCCCGGCCTGGCTCGTGGGCTCTGCGGACAAAGGACCGCAGCTGTGCCCGGCCGCGCCTGCCGAACAGCTGTGTCGACGCGAACCCGAGGCGGTCCACCAAGCGAGACGCATGCCCGGAGCGGAGCCGCCAACTGTGAAGGCAATCAAAAACATCCTTCCGCAACTCCTGCGCCCTCTCATCCGCGATCTTGATAAGAGGGCTGCCGCCCGGCGCCGGCCGCAGGTCGGTCCAAGCCCCCAACGCGCGTAGCTCGGCTGACGGCGGCGGGGACTTCACGTCCGGCACGTCCCAGCCGCACAGCTGCGCGAAGTTCCGCCACGACCTCCAGCAACTCCACGCGGTTGTCGCCCTCTCGACGTTCAGCATGTCGTCGACGCGATGCGTGTAAGCCGCGCCGAACAACAAGGCGGTGCACTCCACGCAACACATGGGAATCCGTGCTAAGTTCAACGGGGAATTCTTGCCGCCGAACAACTGGGCCACAGGGAGTGCCAGCACAGGCCGGCGGCGCTCCGGGTCGTAGACAACGATGCAATTGAAGTGCGCCGTCGCCGGGTCGGCCGTCTGCTGGCGGTAGGCTTTCGCAAAGTCGGAGGCGTGCCCGAGGAGAGCCTCGCCGAACCTCTCCGCGGCCACGCGGATCTGCGTGGCCCGCATATCCAGGCCCGAAGGCACGCGCGCATCGGATGTACCTGCGGTATCGTTGTGGCCGCCCTCCAGCATGTCGTCGATGGCCCGGCAGCTCGGCCCCGCCGCACCACCGCGGCGTTCCCGCAAGGGGAACCGGCGAAAAAAACAGCAAAAATCCGCGGGCACGTCGGCCTCGGCGCCAAACGGCCCTAACATGACGCCCTGCTCGAATTCTTCCTTTGTTTTTCTCCAAGCCCCCCTGTCCAGCGCATCGTCTCCAGAAGACCGCGTAGACTTGAAGATCTTTTGGTTTCTGTTGGCCTGGGCCTTGACGAGTTCCTCGATCGGCTTCAGAGGCGGGCTCGGCCGTGGGGGGGCAGCGGGGCAGCTGGGCGCCCATCCGATTTTGGGCAACCCGCGGAGGTCGTCGGCGAGAAAGTCCCTGCCCCTGGGCATCACAAAGAAACTCACCTCCCGAATGAAGGCCAGCGACCGCCGGCCCAAGGCCGGCCGCAGCCATGGCTGGAAGAACGGCGTGATCTTCTCGTCTTCGTGCCGCACGGCGCCGGCCAGACACTCCAGGGCCTCGCCCATGGCGCACCGCTGGTCGATGACGTCCTCGTCGTCGTGGCTCTGGTATTTTGGCATTTCATCGCGCACTCAACTTGCATCGGCAACGCGGGAGGCCGCGCGTAGGGATGGGGGTGCGAAGCGCCACCGCCACGCGAGCGTCTGGGGACATACCGTCCGGAACCAGCTGGGGTAGAGCGCGGCGCACCGGCTGCATAGCCGCCGCCACCTTGCGCGAAGCAGAATCAGCCGCGCGGCGCCCCGAGGGCATGAACCCTGAAGCTTGCACAATTTCACGCATGTCCGCCCCAGAGGCGTCGATCCATCCAGCAGCGCGCTGCTTGCACAGCTCCACGTCGGCATCGCGGACGCATCCCCAATGCTGGGCGACGATCCTCGCAACTCCCGGCCAGAAGGCCGCGGCCGCATAGGCCCACTTCCGGCCGTCAGGCGCCCTGCCGCGCAACCTCCGGCGCACGTGGCCCCCGGGGCACGTGGCCTGCAGCGCGCGGACGCGGTGGTCGGCGGAGATTAGTAATGTCGGCTGTCTCCAGGGCGCGCTGTCGACGCACGCGCCCCTCCGGACGACCGCCGCGTTCGTCTCGGCCAGAAGCTCCGCGAGACCCTGCGTTGAGATCAGTGCCAAGTCAAGGGGAACTTCGACCTGGAACGCCCCTTTCGCCTTGTGCTGCGCCCTTCCGAAGCTCGCGGTGGCCTCCGCCGCCGCGCCAAGCAAGGAGCGCCTGGCGGCGGGCCCGAGGCGGGGCGCGCAAGCAGGAGGCGACATGCGCAGGACAGCGACCCGGTCCTCCAGGAGCAGGCCCAAGACGACGGAGGCGAACATCGGGTTGAGCAAGTTGTTCGACGGGCCCAAGACGACGTCGATCGGCGGGGCCACGCGCCACCCTTCTGCCACGAAGGCCATCGACAAGCCGAAGGCGCCCGCGAACAGCTCCCAGAAACAACGCCTCGTGAGCGCCCGCATGGCCCAAATTAGCCCCTGCCATGTGTCGTGCGACGGGAAGGTGCTGACGGGCGGCTTCGCGACGTGCGGGCCCTCCTGCTCCTCGGCTTCCTCGTCGACCCCGTCGTCCAGATCGTCGTCGCCGCCCTCCCCCTCGCCCTCCCCCCCCGCGCCCCCAGCGCAGCTGAATTGCCCCGGGTCTTCCTCGACAGCGGCGCACATGTCGACGAGGATCTGCCCGTGGCAGCGCTCGGCGCCGCAGTCGCAAAGTAGGCGTTGACTCCTGAGATAGGGGGGCTCGGCTGACCCGAGCCCCCATCGGGGTGAGCGGGAACCCTTGGTGGCAATGTCAAGAGTCTCGATTTCGCCGCCGCGTTCGCGAGATGACAAAGTTGGCTTTCAAGCACTCAACATGAACACACGTAGCGCAGGTTGTGTCCTCCAACGATTTCGCGCGCCAACATATGCGGCGCAAAATGCAAGGGCGCGGGTGCCCCAACGATGAGTTCGAAGCGCTGTCTAACACAACAATGCCAAACAATGCCGTTCAAGTGCGCGCCATGCCGCGAGCAGGCAATTGCCTGAAAACGCATTCAAGGAGCAAGCGGCGCCCGTTGTAAACGAAATCGAGCGCATTTTCACCAAGGTGCAACCACTTCAGCCCCGAGAAAAGCGGGTCTGTATTATATCGGAGACGCCTCATTATTGCGACGGCCACGCAACGTTGCAAACCACAGTGAGCACGGCGCGCTCGCTAACGGCCACTGGAAGCCAGTCCTAGACTTCCCCACGTGCCTATCAGCCCGAGGCAAAGCCCCGCAAACGGAGTGATAACACACAACAGCCACATAATATACGGCCCCACGCTGGCCGCAGCGAACAACGGGAAATGATGTGCACCGCCCCTAGCCCAATGGCTCCTGGGCCCACCCACCCACCACCCGCCCCCGCCCACCCACCCACTCACGCCACCGCCACCACCACCACCACCACCACCACCACGCGCGCGCACGCACACACAGGCACTTAGCGACGATGCGCATGGCACCAACCAGCAGCGCCCCACACACACACACACACACACACACACACACACACACACACACACACACACACACACACACACACACACACACACACACACACACGCACGCACGCACACACACACCACCACCACCACCACCACCACCACCACCACCACCACCACCATCACCACCACCCACCCCCACCCCCGCGGACAAGTCAGCCCAACGAGGGGCCAGAAGGGCCCCAAGAGGGTGCCAGAGGGGGCCCAAGGGGGGGCCCGACACGGCCCCATGACGCATGTACTTGGGTGCCCCTCTGGAAAGCCCAATGTGCATATCAAGTAACATACGGTTTGGGGCCCTTTTGGGCCCCCCGAGGCGCTCTTGCGGCCATCTTGGGGCGTTCGGGCCCCTCCAAGACGGGGTGGGAGGGCTCCCGAGGGCCCCCAAGAGAGGGCCAGGAGGGCCCCAAGACGGCCCCAATAAGGTTCCAAGATAGCCGCCAGAAATGCCCCCCAGAGGTGTCCACGGACCCCCCCTCTGGAGTGTCCAAAAGGGGTCCGTGGGCTCCCCCAAGGGGGGGTCCGTGGATTCCTCTGGGGGGCATTTTCTATGGCCCTCTTGGGCCCTCTTGGGGTCGTGTTGGGGCCCTCCTGGTGTCCTCTGTGGGCTCCCAAAATGCTTCCAAGGGGCATCCGAGGAGACTCCGAGTCATTCAAGAAGCTTCTGGCTCTTCTGTTCGTCGTTTCCCCTTCTGCCTCATTATCCTCCACATCCTCCTCTTCATCCAAATGATCCTCATCGTGTTTATCCTCCTACTCCTCCTTCTCTTCATCCTCATTCTCTGCATCATCCTTCTCCCAACTCCCTCATCCATCCATCCGGCCTCCTTCCCCTCATCCCCCCTCCTTCGCACGGTTCGGCTATCCCCTTCTTCGATCCCACACTTCCCTGATCACCTCACCGAGCGTCGATCGTGGATGGGCCGGCGGGGATACGCGAAGCGTCAAGAATTTGGAGCCCAAGGCTTCCGCCCGAGGTAGCCCCCCAAGAACGCGCCCGAACGGCCATGCGAATCCCCAAATGGACCCCAGAGGTCCCCGCGCGCAGCCCAGAAGAAGCCTCACTACTCTCTCCAGGAGACTGCCAAAGGAGACCCCGACAGGCACCCGAGAGGCCTCATACCCACAACCCCCAACTCAAGCACGGTGGCGGAGTGTGCCGGAGGCCATGGTATGTAATTCGGGTGGCTTCGAAGGAATGTCATTGTTTCAAGAATCGAGCGGGGCGTGCCATGAGTCGGATCCCTATCGAGCACGCTAAATAAACCGTTTCACCATTGCTATGTGCGCGCGTTGTTTGTTTCATCGCGTTTACATCCATCCCTCCATCCCTCCACGCATCTATCCTGCCGAGCCGCGGCGGCGCAGTGCGGCCTGGCTCAAGACGCGGTGGCAGCCGCCAGGCTGCCCTCCATCAGGTTCTTCACCGTCTTGTAGTCGGCGCTGGCCAAGTAGTCGAAGGGCTGCAGCATTCCCGTCAGAGCGACGTGGCAGGCCTCGTAGTCGTCCCGACGCATGAAGCTGTAGCGCACCAGATCGCAACCGCCGGAGTCCTCAGCGACGAAGGTGCAGACCAAAAGGCCCCCTGGAATGGCTGCGACTGTGCCCTGCTCGACCGTTAAAGCGGAGCCCCGATTGGCAGCGATCTTCATCGCGGTGCGCCTGTCGTAGTTGTTGACTGCCTCGAGCTTCTTCGCCACCGTGTCTCCGTCGACGGCATCCAGGCTCACCCCGACCAGGTGGATGGCTCCAGAGACACAGCAAATCACCTCTGGGAGACAGAACGCCGTCACATTCACTGCACTGTAGCCCCCTGCGTAGACGCATATTTGATAATCAACGATCGCCTTCTTTTGCTCCGCATGCTCTGGGGGCAACGTGATGAAGAAGTTCGAAGCAGGCTTGATGCGCGAGCCCATGCCTGCGAACATCTCATTCACGACGTCGTTGAGCTTCTTGTTGGAGATTTCGGTGACCATCGAATCGAGGCCATCCTTGCTCATGGTAGCCTTGGCCCACTTGACCTGCGTCTGGTCATTGCCAGTGTTTGCTATCGCGCCCAGGTCATCCACCTTGAACTTCACCGCCTTGGTCTGGTTGAAGTCGGCCACCTTGTCGCTGACGCTCAGTCCGTCAAGTGAGTGGCCGTCGAGCACGTCGGGCACGAGGGGCTCGATCACTGGCACGTAGCTCTCGTCGCCCCACTGCTGCGCCCCAGCGTTGAGCCTACTGCGGGCCGCACTCGACTTTGCTTGGGCCTTCTCCAACGCCCTGCTCTTCTTTTCAACGCCTTTTGCGAAGGCCCTCCACTCAGCCATCCTGAGACGGAACGGCTTCGCGCGACCCTCCTTCGAGAAAAACCGTTCGAAGTCATCCAGGGCGGGCTGGAAGAGGTTCGCCAAGTCACCAGCGACGGAACCATTGGGGGCAAGCTTCTCGAGTTGATAAGTCTCCATCCACACTCTCACATTCTCAGTGTAGGTGTTGAAGGCATCCTTGGAATTCGCCTCGAACTTGGCGTTGCCCTTGCGGGGGGCATCGCGATTCCATCGGGGCCGCGTCGCGTCTCCTCCTTGCCAGGCTAGGTCGCCCGCCCCCGCCCCACGTCGCCCCCCCGCGCCTCTCCCCACCGCCGTTCGCCGCCATGCCCCATCTCTCGCCCCCCTGCCCCGTGCCGGAGCAAGGTCGGGGAGGGAGTGAGAGATGAAGCGTGGCTCGGTCGGGCTTCAGACAGGGCGGGGGAGGGAGGGGGGAGGGGGAGGGCGGGAGACCTACCTGGCTCGGTAGAAACACGAGTTGGCCCCAAGAAAGCTTGATGGACCCCGCGGCCACTTTGGTCGTCGGCGCGTCTTCTCCCTCCATGGCGGACAGGCCCATCTCGGGCTGCGCGAGGTCGTTCCGCAACCTCGCGATGCTGGAGTTCAAGTTCGCCGACTTCTCAATCAGGCGCGTCTTGAGGGTCGTGTAAGCAGTCCTCTGGGCACTGGGTGATTGCCTGGCCTGCTCACTCTGCTCCTGCTGCGCCTGGGCAATCTTCTGCATGTCATCGGCCACCTCCTGCATCATGTCGGCCTCCTCCTGAGCTTGCCGTATCTGTTGCTGCATCATATCTTGTTGAACGGTTCGCTGCCTGACCGCTTTGCTGGGGCGTTCGTCATGGACTCGGAGGTGTTAGAGCCGATGGTGCCCACCTGCTTCGCTTCAAACGGAATGGCCGTCATCGAGATGGGGCGCGAGAGCTTCAAAGTACGCCAGAATCGATCCATAGACTTCAAGTAATCCTCCACCGCAGCGTTCAAGTCGTCGGCGTTGTTGCAGATCTTCTGACGCTCGACGCGGGAGGTGGCCATGTTGTTCTTCACGTGGTCGACAATGATCACCCGATCTTTTGCAATGAAGACTTCCTCGCTCTCGTCCGTGATCTTGTCCTTCGACTTCGCCACGAGATTCTTCCAGTGCTCGATGACCTGCTCTTCGGCCCAGTCGGGGTGCTCTTCCACAACCGTGTCGTAGCCAAAGAATTGAGCGCGATCTCTTTGATCAATACCCCTACTCTGGGACTCCTCTTCCTCTGCCATGATATGATCCTCCGACATCTGGCTGTGCTTATCCTTGGTCTTAATCTTCTTGTACCACGCCTGCTCCCTCTTGGGGTATTTTTGGAGGCCCACAAAAGAAAAACTACTAAAAACCATAACCAAGAAAAAAACAGCATAACTAGGGCCCCACCGGCCCCCCACCCCCCCCCCCCCCCGCTGGTAAAGGGCCCCCCCCTGGGCCCAGGGGGGCCTTAACCGGACGAATAGGGGGTCTTAACCGCTGCGCGATCGATCGCGGACAGGATAAGACCCCTGATCGCGGGGGGGTCTTACCAGGATCCGATCGATCGCGCAAACGTATAAAGACCCCCCTCCACACGCCATGGGGCCTTATCGTTGCGCAAAATCGATTGCGACGCGGTGAAGGCCCCCCCCCTGGCGAGAGGGGGGGCCTTAACCGTGCGCAATCGATTGCCGAAAACGGTTAAGGCCCCCCTCCCCTCTCGACGCCAGGGGGAGGGCCTTAAACCGTTGCGCAATCGATTGTGACACGGTTAAGTCCCCCCCCCTGGCGAAAAAAAAAAAAAAAAAAAAAA